CTCACATCAGCCAGGATAATTCCTCTAGATATGGTCTCTCTTGCCATGATATGAAATAACTATAAACTACAATCAATAACTGTTAACAATACAATAACTGTTTTATAAACAAAGCTAAAATTAAGCATGGACACACGCGCCCGACACCGAGCGAGACAGCGAGGACACGGGTTGTCACCTTGTGTCGGCGTTCCGACCCGCTTCAAGCACAGCGTTAAGCTTCTCAGCAAAGAACGAGAGTGCTATGCTATACACCTCACCTGCAAAACTATATACTGATAACACAAGTATGCACCGCGACACGCATGCGCGCAGCGCACGCAACGCACGCAGCACACACACACACACACACACACACACACACACACAACACACCACACCACAAACACACACCACACACACACATATAAATATAGATGTTCGAAATTAACGGGTATCCGTTAGTCCAAACTACAGATTCTGACGGGAATGAGTAGACTGCAGCAATAAGCTATCCTGTGCATGACTGACCTGACTGGTTAGGCAACTGTTCAGTTCTGAACTAAGCACGGATAAAATAAACTGGTAATTTAAAGCGATCCATTCCTGTTTTGCAGTTTTGAAGGAAGGGCATGCCTATACTATCTCTCTCTCATCTGCACTTTCCTCCGCGCTCTCTCTCTCTCTCTCTCTCTCACTCTCATCGTCTCTCTCTCTGCCGGTCTCTCTCGGCGCGCTCTCGTCTTCTTTCTCTCTGAATGTGTGGTCGTGTCCAATGGCATGCCCTCGCTCTTGCTGGTTCTGTGAGCTTTGACTACAGACCAGCAGGCTCGCACGCACCACGCTAACACACGAGCGCACAAACGGTAAGACGTTTGTTATTTATTCACAACTCTCGATGAGTTTGGTGATTATGGTATATTTCTATTCATAATGACCGAAGCAATTTACTTCACGTTTCTGTATAGTAGGTATATATATATATATATATATAGGTACGTGTACAGAGGTGTAGGAAATGTACTTCGTGTCTGAGCGAGTCACCTACCGAGTGAACGCAAGGACTCCGCCACGTCGTTTTCCGGGTCCAGATTATTCTTGTTCTGACCAGATGCCTGGCGGCGAGAAATACAAGCAAATACCATAAACCCACTTAGTGTGCTAAGCTAGATACAAAATTATTATTTGTAATCGCAATTTGCTAGCGGAATTTATCTCTCATCGCAAAATGTGAAGACATGTGTATATGCATGTATAGCCACCTTTTGAAATTCATCAAGAACCGTCTTTATCTGCTTGAAGTTGTTCCTGGTGAGGAGGTGAAAGAAGAATTCCTGGCTCCCATCTTTCTTTCGCAGCTTCCCCTTTGTCTGTGAGAATTTTTAATTGTACTTGTATAAAAGACGTGATGATAGTAAGTGTATAGTTACACAAGGTATGACCGTGGTCATATTTCTAAAAATTTCTAGCAGATTGTATCACCTGAATTATCAGGGCTAAATAATCTCATATAGTTGCAAAATATGAGACTGGAATAATAGTTAACACTATAACGGGAACACACCGATGAACATATAAGGCTAGTCTCTGCGACACAGCAATATAATGTGTGTGTACAGCTATAAAGACTGACGAAACCCCATATAATACCCTCCCTGAAAGCACGCAAGAATAAATAATACACACAAAAACGCTCAATTGAGTCATGCATCCTTAATTAACTTATTAACAAAGATTCGTGCTAAGCTGATTATCTGGGGAGACTATTATGGAGGGGGATGATATTATTATAAACGCGTTTTACTTTCCTACACTCACCACGTGTGTTACCATAGAAATCCCATACTGATTATAGGCTATCTATACATTTCTATAAGCAATACGTTTCTACGTGTATTACCTTCAACAGTTGCTTAGCGTCCTTTTGAGCCTGAACGAGGTCAATGTTCGTTGACTCGTCTCTCTCACCCTGCAAGCATAATGTTATTCTTGCGGATTCAGTTGTGTATAGATAGCGTACGTGTGATGGAATCGATCTTTGCTGCCGTAATGTTGATCTCATACTACTCGCGCGTGCACGCGCACAAACGCGTGCACACACACACGCATGCACTCACGCAGACACTCGCCCGCTCACACATAGGCACGCACGCGCGCACATACCCACCCGCGCGCACACTCGCACGCCCGCACGCACGCACGCACTCACACACACACACACACACACACACACACACACACACACACACACACACACACACACACACACACACTAGCGACACATAGCACGCTCGCATGCACGCACTCACTTGGGCGCGCACACGCCACACCGCTCGCGCGAAACACACACGCACGCGCACGCGCACGCGCACGCGCACGCACACGCACACGCCACACGCACACGCACACGCACACGCACACGCACACACACACACACACACAACACAACACGCACGCTGTTATTTCGCCCCGTTCTTGGTGTTATATTATTTTAATTAAGATAAACGTTTGCAACAACAGCAATTGTCCAAATCTCATTTACCGTTCACTACGTATTATTCCTGATCATACCTTTGCCAACTCGAGCATTAGACACTGCACGTTCCCTTTCGTTGCTTCGCAATGTCTCCCTCCAAATCGCTGTTGTACTCTATCAAACGAAAAGTCAGCTATTCGATAGCAATCGCATACTGAATAGGGAATATCGTATAGAATCCCAACAATACTTTTATTCTGTATGGGATCTACCTAGCTCACACTATATATAATATATATATATATATATATATATATATATATATCATATTATATCACTATATCATTCTATTTGGGTAGACACTCACTCACCCAGCGGTAGTTTTCCTTAATGCTCCCTAATGCCTGGTATGGAGAAAATAAAAAGGAAATCAGAAATCAAGGGTAGAATCTATGAGAGCCCGCTTTAAGAATAAAGTAAACGGAAACATTTCTAAATATATTAACATCCTTCTTTCAATATCGATAACGAGTAAAAGATCATCAATATTCTAGAGGAATACGCCTTTACAATTATAATCGTAAGGTAGATATTTCTTGCTTGTGCATCTACTCCAGACTCGATGTCCGTGAATAAGAGATCTCAGGCTGAACATGTCCCCGTATGCAGGGTTACAATGTACATAGGTCTAATATACCTTGCATGTCTCTAGTAGCTAGAATCTCGATGAGGCGTATGCCTGCCGTGTGCGTGGCGCCCCCTGACATGAATTGTGTAACCAAAACGCTAGTCGTACTCCCACGGATGACATCAGCAGCCAATAATGGCGTCCTTGCCGAGCCGGAGAAATGCGATTTCACCTCTTGCCTCAGTCCCTGCACCAAGACGAATGGGGCTTGTGCAGACGAGACATATCATTAATACATGATATAATATATGCAATACCAGGCGACCGTAACTGGCTGGGTCTTCTCCCTGAGACATAGCGTCATAGGTGGGCCCTGATGTCGTAGGTCAGAGGCCATGAATTAGAGTAAAAGTTATTTGATCTCTACCATTCAGACATTCGCGCGTTTCTTTTTTCTGTATATACCACCTAAAGGTCTGCGAATCTGTGTTTTAGAAGTCGAAATATGCCGCCAGCAATTAAGCTTTAACTGCCGCAAATTTCTGTTGCGTTAGGTTTTCTGCAAGTCTTGTCTCTCTCCTTGTTGCGATGTATCAGCAGACGTACGAACTCCTTCAGCCTTGTTATCTAATTATAAAGGAAAATTTTACCAGATTTCCTTACAGATCAATAGATGTATGGACAATAGACGGTAATATCCATCATAATAATTAGTTCTGCGTCAGCACGTTGTTTTCACAGACTTGCTAATAGAGGAACATCTACATCTTCATAATCATAATTGCTGCTCAGAATTTCAGGCAAGGAGAGCATCACTATAAAGTAATTCATTTTTGATAGGCACGGCGGGCGGTAGTACTGTCTTGTTTTCATAGGGTAGCGCAGTCATTTGACTTCAGGAACCACTAGATGTTGATTGGCCCGATTGGCCACTCGTCGTGTAATTCTACAAAACCGGCAAAATGTCAGCGCGAGAGGTCAAGTCAACAACGCTCTGCTTCCTGTTTTTGTTTACACGTGTCACCTGCACACTTTTTGCATGCAATCGATGTAACCAGCGCGGACCTGCCAGCTCGGGAGCACATTAAAAATTTAAATTGGAGGTAGGCGTCATGTATAGATATGAATAAATAATGGTAGCAAACACAAGGTAATTGCATTATAAGAGTACGCTCACATTTCAGTGCCTTTGGAGTTCGTTACAATCCTGGCAACCTTCATCCAAGTTACAGGCGAATATTGTACCGCTGTGCCTTGGCTGGAGGATAAGAATTATATTATAGCATTTTGAAAAAGCATGCCTAAATATCGCTATTATACTCACGAGCATCGCGCGCAGGCATATACGCACGTCGTACCACGGTATACGCACGCATTGACGCACACGATACGCACACGCATCAGCAACCCACACAGGGCCGCACGCACACACACACACACACACACACCACACACACACACACACACACACACACACACACACACAGCACAACACACACCACACACGCACACACACGCACACACAGCCGCACGCACACACGCACACACGCACACACGCACACACATACACACACACAAAAGGGGGATACACCTTCTGTACATGTGATACACATGTAGTGGGGGGATTACACCTTCTTATAATAAGAGAGGGAGCGTGGAAAGCTAGGCATACCTTCTCCCAGAACACGGCTTCCTCATCTAGATCAGCAGCCGCGCTCATGTAGGCCGAGTCGTCAGGGGGCGCGCCGGTCGTAACTGCCTCTTTCTGCACGTGATCTTTGCCATTGTGTTCTTTGGCGTCCTCCTTGCCGTTGTCAGCGGCTCCCGAGGCTCCCGCGGCACCCGCCGTGTCTTTCTTCGATGTCTTTTTGCCATTTTTCGCTTCTTTCGTGGCAGACTTCGCGGTTTCGTCTCCACGCGATGCTACATCCGTCTCCGACTGTTTTGCTGGATTCTCGTTTGTTGTTGGATCGATGCTGTATTCGACTTTACTGGGATCGTAGCTGTGTTATGAAACAGAAATTACTGGGTGCTGTAAATCTAAATGTAGGCAGGGATATATACAAAACGTCGCGTGGAGGGACGCGTACACGCACGCGCACCCATCCACATATTGTCTGATTTCACGTTTACATATTCAACTTATAAGGGTTTATAGCGGAGGACTGTGACTGGAACGTTTAGGCTGTGACCGAGAATAATATAATAATGTGACAATATAATAATACATGAAGATTATTATCATTATGATTGAAGATTACTAACCGTCAGGATTAAAAACGTTAATAAACAATAAGCGAAATCGAAGAGCTTGATACGTTTTCAACTCTATGCGTTTATCACTCCTTTCATACAAATAATTTATCTTACATTATCAGGTTAAAATTTCCCAATAATGGCGATAATTGTGTACTTACTTTCCTCTTGTTATGGCGAGCAATAACTTCTTATAGTCTTCGTTGAATGATTTCGATTCAATGGCGTCATCCAGTGACATATGGTGCATCTCCTTGTACGCTTCCTTAATCTCGACCAAATCCACCTAAAATTAAGTGAGAAAATGCCTAAAATTACTTAAAACTTCATTTTACACTGCCGTTTATTAAATCTGAACCTAAGTATAGTTTATACTAAGATGCAAGTTATACACAGCGTGGTAAGATCATGTGAACTTAAATTATAACACAGCGTGCTAATAATAGAAAATTATGATAATAAATTTTGCATATTGCTGCGCTTATATTTTATTATAATTCCATCAACGATGCCACAATACAAAATAGAGAATCATTCTGAATTTCTGTAAGAGTATGGAACTATTCATATTAAATAGCTACATGGCATGCCGAGCTATATTATGCTATGCATATCAAATAGCTACATGATATGCCCAGCTATATATTAGATAGATAGATAGATATTAAATAGCTATACGGTATAATCTCTCTCTCTCTCTCTCTTTCCACCCATCAGCAGGATAATTCTCTAATATTGTCTCTCTTGCCATGAATAGAAATAACTATAAACTACAAATCAATAACTGTTTAACAATACATAACTGTTTATAAATACAAACTAAATTAAGCATGGACACACCTGCAGAGCGAGAGACGACGACACGGGTTGTCACCTTGTCGTCCGTTCCACCCGCTTCAACAAGCGTTAAGCCTTCTCAGCAAAGAACGATGAGTGCTAGCTATACACCTCACTGCAAACACTATACTGATAAAACAACAGTATAGCACGCACACATGCGCGCACGCACGCACGCACACACACACACACACACACACACACACACACACACACACACACACACACACACACACACACACACACACACATATAAATATAGAGTTCGAAATTAACGGTAGTCCGTTAGTCCGAACTACCAGATTTGCTGACGGATGAGTGACTGCCAGCAATAACTAGTCCTGTGCATGGAGACTACCTGACTGTTAGCACTGTCAGTTCTGACTAACACGATAAATAAACTGGTAATTTAAACGATCCATTCCTGTTTTCAGTTTTGAAGGAAGGCAGCCATACTATCTCTCTCTCTCTCCCTTTCTCTCGCGCTCTCTCTCTCTCTCTCTCTCTCTCTCTCTCTCTCTCTCGCTCTCTCTCTCGCGCTCTCTGTCTCTTTCTCTCTGTGTGTGCGTGTCCTAGACTTGCCCTCGCTCTTGCTGGCTCTGTGACTTGACTCAGACCAGCAGGCTCGCACGCACGCACACACGCACAAACGGTAAGATTTGTATTTATTCACTCCTGATGTGATATGTATATTTCTATTTCATAATGACCGAAGCAATTTACTTCACGTTTCTGTATAGTAGGTATATCTATCTATATAATATATTATATATATATATATATATATATATATATATATATATAGGTACGTGTACAGAGGTGTAGGAAATGTACTTCGTGTGTGAGTGAGTCACCTACGAGTGAACGCAAGGACTCCGCCACGTCGTTTTCCGGGTCCAGATTATTCTTGTTCTTGCACAGATGCCTGGCGGCGAGAAATACAAGCAAAATACCATAACCCACGTAGTGTGCTAAGCTAGATACAAAATTATTATTTGTAATCGCAATTTGCTAGCGGAATTTATCTCTCATCGCACAAATGTGAAGACATGTGTATATGCATGTATAGCCACCCCTTGAAATTCATCAAGAACGCTCTTTTATGCTGCTTGAAGTTGTTCCTGGTGAGGAGATGCGTGAAAGAAGAATTCCTGGCTCCCATCTTTCTTTCGCAGCTTCCCCTTGTCTGTGAGAATTTTTAATTGTACTTGTATAAAAGACGTGATGATAGTAAGTGTATAATTACACAAGGTATGACCGTGCGTCATATTTCTAAAAATTTCTAGCAGATTGTATCACCTGAACTATCAGGGGCTAAATAATCGCAATATAGTTTGCAAAATATGAGACTGCAATAAAGTTAACACTATAACGGGAACACACGATGACATATAAGGCTAGTCTCTGCGGACACAGCAATATAATGTGTGTTTACAGCTATAAAGACTGACGAAACCCATATATATACCTCCTGGGAAGCACGCAAGAATAACAATACACACAAAAACGCTTCAATTGAGTCATGCATCCTTAATTAACTTATTAACAAAGATTCGCTCTAAGGCTGATTATATGGGGAGACTATTATAGAGGGGATGATATATTATTATAAACGCCCGTTTTACTTTCCAACACTCACCACGTGTGTTACCATAGAAATCACATACTAATTATAGGCTTTTCTATAAGCAATACGTTTCTACGTGTATTACCTTCAACAGTTGCTTAGCGTCCTTTGAGCGCTGAACGAGTGCAATGTTCGTTGACTCGTCTCTCTCACCCTGCAAGCATAATGTTATTCTTGCCCTGATTCAGTTGTGTAGATAACGTACGTGTGATGGAATCGATCTTTGCTGCCGTAATGTTGATCTCATACTACTCGCGCGAGCACACGCACACTCACACACATAGGCACGCACGCGCGCACATACACACCCGCGCGCACACTCGCACACCGCACGCGCACGCACGCACTCACACACACACACACACACACACACACACACACACACACACCACACACACACACACACACACCACACACTACGACACATGGCACGCTCGCATGCACGCACTCACTTGGGCGCGCACACGCACCGCTGCGCCGGCAACACACACGCACCGCGCAACGCCGCACGCGCCACGCG